AAAAAAAAAAATGACTCAGCAAAAACTGATACGTATAACCACATAAAACAATATCTTTTCTTTTCTTTTTTTCATCTGGATTACTGAAGCAATAACCGGAACAACAGCATTCGCTGGCAGCAATCCGATGACGATTACACTGCTGCACATAATTGCTTCTTGTCATTCTACCAGAGAAGTGGGGGTATTTGGCAAAAACAAAAGAAAAAACATTGCTGCAGACGAGTAGTGGTGTATAGCGCAGAGAATCAGTGACTGGTAAGAGAAAGGAAAACAAAAGTTGCGGAACGATTAATCTGTTCAGTGGTATATTTGTTGTGGTTAGTGCTCGGTGGCGTTGGATAAGCGGTGTTGGTGTTGATAGAGTTGTTGTTTTTGTGCACCGCATATGCATCTGATTTAATTGATGAAAGCTCTCTCTTTTTTTTTTTTTTTTTCCAACACAGTATCATTTTTAAGCATTGTTGGCAAAAAGATTTTTTTTTGTTTTTTTTTTTTTATTCAGGCAGATAAAGGAAAACTTAGAAGGCTAATTGTATAAAGTAAATTTAGAAAAAGTTAGTGGAACAAACCTCTGAGCTTCTGCTGCTTCATAACTTTGGCACAAATACTAAAATAAAGGAAGCAGAAGACAAGAAATCTCTTGTTTTATACATTCAATACTCGGATTCTGTGATAATCAAAAAAAGTAAAACTTCTTTTAAAAACTTTTTCTTGGTTATCTTGATGGTCAAAAAAGAAATCGGCTATAGTTTTGTTGGTATGTTATGATAGATTTTTTACTATGAACTTATTGTCTAACAGGTGTAGCTCTCAGAATATTGTTTGATTGGTGTTTTAGGTCTTAATATTTAGCTTAAAACCAATTGTTTGAAAGTCAGTGTTGTTGTAATTTATAAATTGGTAAGTTGTTTGATCAAAACTGAAAAAAAAATTGTATTTGGGTCCTATTTTTTCACGTCCGTTTATGACATTTTCTTTCGCGGTGGATAAAGTACTGAAACACAGTTGAAAAAGTTGCAAAAATGATTGATCTGTCTAACTGAAAACTGTTTTTTTTTTTTTTTTTTTGAATTACGCAAAACTTTCAGTGGGTCGTTAATAACAGTGAAAACTGATTTACTAGGAATGGTAGACGGCAGCACTGTTTAATATGACTTACTATCATTCATTCAGTTCATTTCCAATTAGACTCACTCTGGTAACAGTTTTGGAATTCTTTAAAACCCGATAATAGGACACACGAAACCTACGGAAAAAGTTTATTGGAATTGCTTACAAAAGTAAAGAAAAGATTTCTGTGTGTTAAATGATAATGAAATTGTGTACAAAAAAAAAAAAAAAAAAAATGGAATATTATAAGTAGCAAAATTAATCATAAATTTCATTACTTAAATTTAATTGTACGACGGTGATATCAAAATTCATCCAACAGAATTAAAGTGTTTCTCAGAAATGTTTGTGAAGAAAGAAATTGGAAAAATTTCCTTAAAATATGTAAGTTTTTTTTTCACTATTACAGTCTGAAGTTTTCTGTACAAAAATTCTTCAACTCCTTTGCCGCAAAAAAAAAAAAAGTTTCTTAAGTTACTGAAATGATCATTTCTTGACATCTGAAACTTCTGTTGATTAATGCTGGCAATAAAAACTGCTCTGCAAATAGGGCACTGGACAAAACACCTAAATTGTTGGTACAACGTGGATTCATACAACAGTTGTGAAAGTAAAAAAAAAAAAAAAAAAAAGTCAGCTAAAACTTTGAAGTTCATCTACGGCGCAATTGTTAATCAACGTTGGAGTTGGTGTGTGTGTGTGTGTGTGTGTGCAATTGGCAGAGCAGCAACAACAGCAAATGAATCGATGAAATTTTCTACAGATTAAAAGCTTAACACTTTTACAGTGTTTCAAAAATTTATGAAAAAGTAAAAGCCAAATAATTTTTT